TGTCAACATATTCTGTTACACCAAATACACAAAATAATGATCTTTAAAAAAGCATCATATGACCCCTTTAATCAAAGTGTAAATGATTATTGCCCAATGCAGTATCTCAGAATGGCCAAATATCAGCCAATTAGTTATCCTTGCCTATATGTCTGGCTGTAACTATCTACTTTCAGCTGACCTTTATAATGTAAGACAAAAATAAATATAAATCTATATTTTATTTTTATTGCGTTCATGTAATTACATATTTGCTACTCTGTATTTATTTTCACCGTGGTTTGACTATTTCAAATGTCTGTTTCAGGTATCTGGGAATCACATGGAGACAGGATATATTGTGAGTTGTTTTTTTTCTAGTGGGTTTTGTGTTTTTCTTTGCTGTCCAAAAATATGACTTTGAAATTTGTACAGACTTTCAAAGCATACATATATTGTTCACATACACTGCCATTTAAAAGCTTGTTTGCTAAGATTGTTTAATGTTTTTTTTTAATGTATATTATTACTATTACTAAGAATTTTATTTGATTCAAATTCACAGTAATGTAAAATATTATTACAGTTTAAAATAACTATATAAGTATATTTGAAAATCGAACTTATTCTTGTGATGGCAAAGCTAAATTCAGCAGCCATTACTATAGTCGTCGGTGACACACGATCATTCTAATATGCTGATTTTGTCATCAAGAAACATTTCTCATTTATTATCAATGTTGATATAGTATTATAGAAAGCATGATACATTTATTCAGGAAAAGTTTGACAGCATTTATTAAAAAAAAAAAAAAAAGAAACATTTTGTAACGATGTAAAAGTCTTTACTGTCCGTTTTGATCAATTTAATGCATCCTTTGCTGAATAATAACAAATGCTATTTTCTTTAAAAAAAATAAAAATACTGACCCAACTGAACGGTATTGTATGTTTTTGTTTGTGTATTATAAATGATATATCATAAACGAGAGAAATTGTCGTAAAAAAATTTTTCCCCACACAAATGTAGGTTATAACTTTCTCTTTATTTTTAACCCACAGTGTGATACAGAGAGTGAATCAGGGGATAAGGTAAAAATGTTTACTATTCTTGAATTTGCTTTATGCATTTTGATGCATTTTACTATTTCGATAATTATATTTTTCCCACTGTTTAGGCCTCTGACAATATGGAGCCAGCATTCATCGTTTGCACAACAGAAGGTAAATGTCTGATGGCAGTAGCAGGTGTATATATTGTGCTGGTAGATGGTGAATTACCTAGGAATAATGATATTTTTGAATGTTTTTGGGATTTGAATTGGACAGTGGTGTTCATCAGTAATTAAAATGCAGATTAATTTATATACCACTCAGATATTTCTCATACTTTTGTGAAAGCCTACATGGAACTGTTTGATTATTTTGGTTGTCATAAAGCATGAAAAAGAGCATTACATGTATTACATTGTAGGGCTCTCTTTTTCCACAGCAGTTAACTCCAACTCTGCAAGCACTGCTGCAGGCAACGGTTGCCCTCTCTTGCCCTCAAAGAGCTTGCAACCCCTTCTGTCAGTCACACCTCGGGTCTCTGGCCTGGAGAGGAGTCAGGAGAGGAGTATGGAGCAGCCTTACCCTGAGCCCATCTCTACCTCATCCTCTCTGCCTAGCCTTGCAGCCCATTCCACTGCCTCGGTCTCCAACTCACTTCCAGAGCTGCGTAATGGAAATGGTGGTCCCTATCACCGCCATGATCCTAGCCCACCACAGCACAAACACAAGCCTTTCCCTTTCCTTGGAAAGTCACAATCAATCTACAGCAACAACAGGTCAGTGTAGTGAAACAGCGTTTCTGTACTTTTTTTTTTTTGTTTGCTTTTATCTGGTTCATCTTAGGTCAGACAGAAAGTAACAATAACGTAAATATAGTAATATACTATAAATAATATAGATATACACATATCTACATATAACATACAGTCATACATTAATTCAGATGAAGAAAAAAGAGAACTCGTTTCTGTACATTTTAACTTCAATAATGCCCTCAGCCTTCTAAATCCAATCATGCTGTTAAAGCTAATAGAATAATTTCTCACACCTACAGTGTGTTCATATATTGTCTCATGCATGTTAGGGATGCACCGAATGTTCGGCAACCGAAATTATTCGGACGAAAATAGCAAAAAAACGTTATTTCGGTGTTCGAAAATAATAAGAGAAAAGACCGAATAAATTGTACCGAACAATGATATGACGCGATCAAATAGCAACCAGCGTAGAGTGAGAGGCGCGCTCTTTATAATGCAGAACACACGGCAGTGTGTAAGCATTTAAAACTGTCGGAGAAATACGCAAAAATCATTACAAGCACCGACAACGAGAGACTGTTTAGGACTGCATCGCATGTCTTCGATGAGAAGAGGAAGGGGCGATTGTTGCTGGTTACTGTATGATGACTGAAATCGTGAAAAGGGCTTAAACAATTAGTAAATAAACTGCAGAACGTTATGTTTTCTAAATCATGCACGCATTGCATGTATTCTGACAGCGCTGCACGAGCTCGCGGCGTTATCTGCTTGTTAACCAGGGTTCAAAGTAGAGGTCTACACGGGTCCAAAAATTCGTAAATGTGCTACACTGAACCGACCTGGACCCGTCTATTATTTTGAAAGTTGGACCCGGGCCCGTGCAGAACCGAGAAATGTAAAAAATGTACTACCCGGAACCGACGCGGACCGTCAATTATTTGAAAGATGGACCCGAACCCGGCCGGGAAGACAAAGACCCGACTGGACCCGATCGGCACATATTCCACAGCAAATTGCTATTAACAAGTCGATAAACAAGTTGCGAAAATGAAACTTTTTGTCTTACCTAATGTAAGAAGCCTTCTCCCTTGTACCTAACTGTGATGCACACAATCCTCCTTGCCAAGAAAGTTCCATCCGTGTTATTCCTCTCTTGCCAATTGAAATGCGTAATCCACTCATTATTCCAGTTTCAAAAGTCCACTTGCTGTCACGGTGACGGATGACAAATGCAACTTTGCAGTTTTGCATTTTTTGTATCTCGAGTCAACTTGCATAATAATTTAGACTGTTTGCCCATTTGGATTATAATAGCTCGTGTTTTTTTTTTCGTTTTTTTTTCCACCTTATTTCAAATTACCGACTCACACTTTTCTCATCCTAATTTTACAAGTTGAAAGTTACAAAACAACACACGCACAGCGCTGACTGACTCTGATCATGGCCGGGTGTTCTCCGAGTCCGATCGACTCGGGTATTACACACAATGTTAAACAGACCCAGGACCCGAAGTAATAGATTGGGACCCGACCCGGACCCGGCTGACCATTTAAAATATAGCGCCGGACCCGTACAGATCCCGGGTCGGGTCCCGGGTCCTCGGGTCCTCCGTGTAGACCTCTAGTTCAAAGACCAAAGCGTGAGGAAAATCTGCGCTGAACAAGTGTTACTCGTCAGTTGTTCAGTCACATTTTTATGAATTTTTACAAGTCATGTGACAATGTGATATGTACGACATATTCGTAATGACTCATTTATAAATCTGCTGTTGTCAACAAAAAGAAGCATTGAGGTCTTCCTGCGTGTTTACGCCAAAATAAAAGTTGAGAAAGCGCAAGAACTCCAACATTCATAAACGTTAGTATTGTAATTTTACTGTTGTTCTGTAAAATAAAAAAAAGTAAGACAATAATAATGATAATCATTATACCAGCTCTGTTAATACATTTATTATAACATTCACACATAGTGTTCAAATTAGAATCTGTAATATTTTCTAATGTTTTAAAAGAAGTCTCTTCTCAGCAAGGCTTCTTTTAATTGTACAGTAAAAAAATACATGCCGGATTCAAGAAAGGGGTCTGATGGCCAAAAAATATTATTTTACTAACTTATTAATTTTAAGCTAAATTGTGCTTTGTTGGTATAGTGTTTGCTAGAATGTTAAAAATGTTCAGAGTTAAATATTTTTACATTGTTGTTTTGTAATTGATTTTTTTCTTTGAAAAGCCAGACAAAACTGTAAAAAGCACATTTTGGCTATTTAATTTAAAGGGATAGTTCACCCAAAAATGAACATTTGATCTTTATCTGCTTACCTCCAGGGCATCCAAGATGTAGGTGACTATGTTTCTTCAGTAGAACACAAACAAAGATTTTTAACTCAAACCGTTGCAGTCTGTCAGTCTTATAATGGAGGTGAATGGGAATCACGGCTAAAACATACAATAAAACAAAAAAAAAAACATACACAAACAAAACCAAATTAAACCCTGCGGCTCGTGACGATACATTGATGTGTACTTAGCGCGTCCTCGACACAGCCGGCTGTGTCGAGGACGCGCTCAGTACAGTTCAGACAGTTCAGGCATTGCAGTGCATCAGAGGTAAAAAACTATATAAATACTGTTCAGTTTCTTGCACAGACCGATCGTTTTGTGTCTTTACACATCAATGTATCGTCATGAGCCGCCGGGTTTAATTTGGTTTTGTTTGTGTATGTTTTAGACTCTCAAAGCCGTGATTCTTATTCACTTCCATTATATGACTGACAGACTGCAACGGTTTGAGTTAAAAATCTCAGTTTGTGTTCTACTGAAGAAACAAAGTCACCTACATCTTGGATGCCCAGAGGGTAAGCAGATAAACATCACATTTTCATTTTTGGGTGAACTATCCCTTTAAGGCCGTTCTCAAACTGACCTGACGTTCACACTTACATGAACTTGAGTGAAAGGGTTTGGAGGGTTCTTGCAGACAGAAGCGCTCTGAAACATCATGTAAATGTGAACGCACACCGGATCTGAGCTGGATCACATGCTCGTGTAAACACAAATGCGGCGTTCTTATCCCTCATTAACTCGAGTAACGAGTTAATGAGGTGAGTTAAAAATCTCAGTTTGTGTTCTACTGAAGAAACAAAGTCACCTACATCTTGGATGCCCTGGGGGTAAGCAGGTAAACATCACATTTTCATTTTTGGGTGAACTATCCCTTTA